ACAATTTAATGCTATCGTTCTGACTTGACATCAGCAGAGTATAAAAATATACAATAGTGTATTTTCACCAAACAAGTTCTTCACTTACAAGTGTGGACACTTGAATGTCATAAATAAATAATCATATAACACTATAGCAATAGTTTTCTATCAAATTCGAGATAGAATCCACTTAAGCAACATTTATACATGCTTAATACAAAGGTAGCTGATTAATAATTCAGACTAACTAGTACATTGTGACTAAAAACAGCAGTCATCTCTAATCTGAAAGAAGAGGACTGTTTTAAAAAAATATGCATAATAAACTGCATCAGTACCTTCCAGTTCAGTAGCAGGTGTTTTGGTTCAGGTCGTAGGTCAGAGCAGATGCTGTGAGCATCCAAACTTAAGAACTGAACTCCGTGGGCTGAATATACAACAGACACCCTTGGAATTCAGTTCTCAAAGCCAAGAGCTCCATTCAAATCTACTGTGAATGCATCAAGCAGGTGATTTTATTTGACCTAAGCAAAATGTAAATGTAACTTAATGGTACAATGCCAATAAAAAATCACCTAGATCATTTCTCATATGTGATAAGATTAGTGTTATTTAAAATGTGTCACACAACTACTTTGTCTCTGGTGTAGCGGGATTTTTGGTTTCCTCGTTCCTCATCATGATTCCAGCAATTCTGTGTTTGTTCAAGAACATTTTCTTTCAGATGCATCCTACTAGTATTTGTCAAGTTCAGTTCAACTTCCTTGCAAGAATCCAATAAAACTAAGATCCCTATGATAAAGTATCGTTTAAATAATGTTTACAGTTGATTGAATTTTAATTACGTTTGTTTAGATAATTCATGCTGACTTTTATTTCTTTTATTTCTCGTGCGCGAATGTTATCATTACAGTTTCTCAAAAGAATTTCTACCGCAAACAAATGTTGTAATATGATTTACATAATTTTTACTGACTTGTCGTCTTTTCTTAAAGTGGCACACAAGAATTCTCAGTTTCAAAAAACAGTTAAATCCAGTTTAACAATGTAAAAAGTTTGGGCTCTGTAAGATTTTTGAATGTTTTTGAGGATAAAGAACAGCTTTTTATTTTAAATAGTAATCTTTTGTAACATGATAATAGTCTTTACTGTAACTTTTCTGATTAATTAATGCATCAAAATAACATCAATAGTATACACATACAATCAGTTGACTTCTTTCAAAACTAAATCTTGCTGACCCTAAACTTTTGAACTGTACACTCTAAAAAATGCTGGGTTGTTTCAACCCAACTTTGGGTCAAATATGGACTAACCCAACCATTGGGTTAAATTTTTACATTAAATTTTTAACCCAAAAGTTGGGTTAGTCCATATTTGACCCAAAGTTGGGTTGAAACAACCCAGCATTTTTTAGAGTGTAGTATGTATAAAACTATTGAAAAAATACCTCACAAATTGCTTCAAATGTCACTAAATTATGCGTTTTACTTCAACATTTATTGGACATACACTCTAAAAAATGCTGGGTTGTTTCAACCATGTAAAAATGTAACCCAACGGTTGGGTTAGTCCATATTTGACCCAAAGTTGGGTTGAAACAACCCAGCATTTTTTAGAGTGTAGTATGTATAAAACTATTGAAAAAATACCTCACAAATTGCTTCAAATGTCACTAAATTATGCGTTTTACTTCAACATTTATTGGACATACACTCTAAAAAATGCTGGGTTGTTTCAACCCAACTTTGGGTCAAATATGGACTAACCCAACTGTTGGGTTAAATTTTTTAATTAAATATTTTAACCCAAAAATTGGGTTAGTCCATATTTGACCCAAAGTTGGGTTGAAACAACCCAGCATTTTTTAGAGTGCAAAAGAACTGGCATCATAAATTATACATTTGTAAAATTCCTCCAAAAAAGCATCTTAAGTGCATGAAATGCAACCATAATACCTTTGCCAGGAAATAACTCGTGACACTTTTTTTTTTTTTTTTACATCTTCAACTCCATTAACTTCTTCAACCCACATGCGCATCTGTCATTCATCTGCTTTTTATCACTCACCTCTTTTAACCAACCTTCAGTTTTCCCCTCTTTTCTCGACAGGTCCACATCATCTGTTGTTGGTGAGTCATTTCGGTACCAGTACCAGATTGAGGATGCTGAATCATGTCTCTCATGCACCTGCAGAGAATGATAAGACACATGCAGAAAGCTCTTCTGCCGCCTACTCACGCAGTGCATCCCTATATAAACCGATCGATTAGCGCTCTCATTTGCATGGGCGTTTGTTCCACACTACACACATAGTCATGGGAAAGTCCCACTGCTATCCATCTTGCTCAAAGTGCAAAGATAGCCATAATTGCACAACACGCAGCCCATGATAATATAGACCCACGTCACACCACCAACAGCACATGCTGGTGCAATCATGTTTCATGGATAAAGGTTGATCGAATAACATTAATTTTCCATCAGTAGCCTGTTATTGCAGACTAGGCTACGTGTAAGCGACGTTGGTGTTGAGAAAACCCCAACCGCCAGAGCAGGAGGAAATGTTGGTTAAGTATTTAATGCACCATTTCCGCTCTGTAAAGTCCGTGGGTTGAGACGGGGAAATCCTAACCCTGTTCGGTTTGCCAATCAAGAGTGCGAGATCTCGTCTTTGCTAACCGTCATATGGCTGTTATTAGACAAACTTTTTTTCACTTTCCTTATACATACGAGAGTCTTTTTCGGCCCAGTTTCCAAGGGTACCAAAACAATGCCAAATATCAGACCTCCTGCTCTGGAGATCGTTCTGGTTTTCGTGCTTTAACGCATTTCCTTGCCCGTATACGAGAATGCTCTGTGCATTGTGTTTCCTTCAGTTTATTTTTCAACAATAACTAATGAATTCTAAAAGCATTTCCATTGAAAGTAGGCCGAACGTTTAAAGTGTTTCTTTACCGTTACAACAGCGCAACATGACTGTAAACGTCAGAAATCATTTTGCACATCCTGGAATGTCCTGTAATGACTTTTCTTTAGTTGTTTTTTATCGTGTGTTATGACATCAGCCATCATGATTTTTCGGTGTGCTTGCATATCATGTCAGTGGCCCCATCTTGCGCCACAGAGTTTTCTCTATCGTCACATGACAGAGGAAGTGAGTCAGATTATCACAGGCTCCAGATGACCTGAAGTCACAGGCCACTCATGATGAGAAGACGGCGTATAAATAAACGCTGCCCTTTAAAAGTGCACACGTGTCAAATCCAACATAAACACTAATGAGGATTAATAGCACAGTTCAGGATGTATAAACTGCCTTGATAGTGTTCACAATATTCCTGAACAAAAGATAAAAAAAACGGTATATATATACAGTGGGTACGGAAAGTATTCAGACCCCCTTAAATTTTTCACTCTTTGTTATATTGCAGCCATTTGCTCTAGGACATTGCTATACTCTTGCTAATATGTTTAGAGAGGTTTTTAATGAGTTACTATGTGGTTGCTACTTGCTAAGATGTTCTGGGTGGTTGCTAGGGCGTTTCTATACAATTGCTAAGGAAACATATTCTTTTGGGCTGTCCCAGTTTTAATGCAAGTAGAAAGCTCTTTTATGAAGTTAGTTCACTTAAGGACTTATTTAGTAAGATTTTGCCTGAAAAGGTATTAGAATTTTTATCATATGTTAATTAAAAAAATCTTGTATAATATTACTTGCTGTGTTTGTTTGTTTGCTTGGTTTTTATTGTATTTATGTGATATTTGTATTTTTGTAATTGAGTTTTTGCCATTAAAATAGCCTAAGATGCTGATATGGCATTACATAAAATTATACTACACTACTAAAATTAATTTAGGAGGCCTTAATGCAGGCATTCACTACTAGTGACCAAACAAGATGACAAATACAAACACTGGTCTATGGGAGACCTCCAAAATAATGCCTTTTTCAGTCATTTATTTGGAATATATACACACATATATCATATATATATATATATATATATATATATATATATATATATATATATATATATATATGCATATATATATAGAGAGAGAGAGAGTTATATACATATATATATATATAATTGTATTGTAATCTATTCAAACTCTACAGGGTATGGCCACATCAATATTTCCTGGACATGTATCAAGTCTGTTCCTGGCACCGGTCATTGTGATTTTCTATGAAAATCCCTTTTAATCTTGAGCATAATCTTTGTTTGGGAAATCAGCAGGAAAAAACATAGCCTCTAAGAAACCAGGTGGCTAAAAGGGAATTTCTATTTGACCCAGAATTAACTAACAACTAACAGTTCCGTTGATGGCCATCTAACTGGAACACTTTGTTTAACCTTTAAAAAAATGTCAAACAAACAAACGAATAAATAAATTTCATATAATTTATTGAAATAATACATTTCTCTGTTCATTTATTTAATTTCATTATTTAACATTTTTATATTTTTAATGTGTCCTTTTATTTATATTAATTGAACCTAATTTAATTTAATTGTTTAATAAAATTAATTGTTTTAATTTTCAGTTTAGTTCTCATTTTAAGACATTTTACATACAAGTAATTTATTTATTTATTGGTGACTATGCTAATTTTTAAAAAGCATAGCCTAATTTAAGTTAGGTCAATTTTTTATTTCACACACAAATGTCCTACTGTCCATATTACTTGAGTCAGGAGAGCGGCCAGCCCCCTTTTAGCCATACGAAAACGCTCTCTATCTGTCAGTCATAATGCTTATTTTAAAATGTCTTGTGTTTTAAATATAGGTCGTGTGATTGATGGCAAGTCGCCGAAATCGCTTTTAACTTTCAATAAAAATGACACCTGACCAGTCGTTTTGAAGAAACCCGTTCCATCATCAGGCTTCATCGTATCCCGGAAGAAAGAACGTTTCTCCTATTCCGATTGGTCGAGGATAAGTTTCTACTGCTCTGATTGGCCAGAAGAGGGTCTCTTTTGCTCTGATTGGTGAAAGCGTGCGCATGCAAGATCATGCGCTCTTGTTGTCGTACAGTAGCCGAATAGCAAGCAAATATGAATGCAAATAGCTTTTACTCTTCTGTCGAAGCGAACTTGATCTAAATCATCAGATATTTTGCGTTTTTTTGTCAGTATCACAGTCGCCAAGAGTTGAGGAGAACTGCACAAAGGCTCCTGCATCCGTTTAGCCTGAATGCGCGGGCATCCTCTGTTCATTGAAGGAGTTTATTTTCTTATAAACAAACATGAATCAGTATCTATTTGTTCTTCTTTCTTTTGTGCATGTATTGGCGGATCCGGATTTTGCAAAACTTGATGGTGCCCCGCCTTCTAAAATAGGTAGGCCAAATGTACATGATATGAATTATTCTGCAATAAAAGGCACTGTAAAGAAAAGACCCCATAATACAGTCTGATGTCGTGTTTGCAGCTGTTGTTGGAGCTGGTATCGGAGGAACCGCTACAGCTCACTTCCTTAGGCAACATTTCGGACCGGAAGTGAGAATTGATGTATTCGAGAAAGGGTCTGTCGGGGGTCGTCTGGCTACAGTCACTGTGAACCACCAAGACTACGAGTCCGGTGGATCCATCATTCATTCCCTCAACCTGCACATGCAAGACTTTGTCCAGCAACTGGGTTAGCTGCATTCATTCGTATTGCTAAAATGTATAATTTAGTCATTATTGACTGAATTAATGCTAGGTATGAGCAGTAGTCTTGGCAGAGACTTATTATATTTCTCATATTTACAGTAAGGGGGTTTGTTTTCAAATCTTTCTGTTTTCTTCAGTACTTTTTGCTGTCTCTCATGTTACCCGTCCACAGGGCTGAAGTACCGAAAGAGTGTGGCTGGGAAAACAGCAGTGTTCAATGGAGGCGAGTTTATTTTGGAGGAGACGGATTGGTACCTGTTGGGTTTTAGCAACATCATATGACCCCTTTAACACATTCTGCTGTCCGTTTTCTGCCAGAATCTATAAATACCAGGCCCATGGCTATGCCTTCAGTTCAGTTGAAGAGCTGCTGCACTCTCTTGGGGGTTCAGGATTTATCAACATGACCCGCCGCTCGCTTTCCGAGTCTCTGTTAGAGTTGGGCGTCTCCCAGCGCTTCATTGATGAAGTCATAGCCCCCATCATGAGGGTCAACTACGGCCAGAACATCAGCATCCCTGCGTTTGTTGGTATGCACAGCACATCCTTTATAAGTTATTAGAATGATACACTGAATTTTTTTATAATAAAAAAAATAAAATAAAACTCAATGTTTTGTTGATTGGTTTCAATTCATGTGTTTTGGACAGTTTTATTTAAAACGAAAAAAAAAGAATCACGTTTTCATGATTTGACACCTTTATTTATCTTATGAGGCTACAAGGATAAGAGAAAGTTCAGAATGATCCTGAAACAAAGTACATAGTATAATACTCATAAATTCATCTGGCCATTTTAGTTGTCTTCTCACCACCCAGTTTCATGTCTGTTCTGAGTCGTCTGCTTCTCTTTGACAGGTGCTGTGTCTCTAGCTGGGGCACAGGCCAATCTCTGGGCTGTGGAGGGAGGAAACAAGCTGGTTTGCTCGGGACTGCTTAAACTAGCAAAAGCTAATCTCATCCAAAGTCCAGTTACAAACATTACCCTCCGATCAACAGGTATTCTACGTAACCATCAGTTAAAAAATACAAGCACTGTGAAAACCAAGTTGAACTGTGTTCATCTGGACCTCTAAATGGCTGTATCTAACAAATCTTAGTAGTCACAGCATGTCACTTTGTCCCAATGGTCTCTGTCGCTTATGGGTCACTGACAAATACTGTAAAAGTGTCCAGCTGTAAAGAAAACGAAAAATCTTTGAAAAGAATTGTTCACCCAAAAATGATTGTTTGCTGAAAATGCCATCCTAGATGTAGACAGGTTTGTTTCTTCATCGGCACAGATTTGGAGAAATGTAGCATTCCATCACTTGCTCACCAATGGATCCTCTGCAGTGAATGGGTGCCGTCAGAATGAGAGTCCAAACAGCTGATAAAAACATCACGATAATCCACAAGAAATACACATGACTCCAGTCCATCGGTTTACATCTTGTGAAGAGAAAAGCTGCATGTTTGTAAGAAACTAATTCATCAAGATGTTTTTTTTTTTTTACTTCAGACTGTTGCCTGTGGCTAAAATATGACTCCTCTATCCATATTGTTGCTTTCCCCAGTCAAAAAGTTGTCTTGTCTGAATCAAGACAGAAATATGCACAGATCAAGCAAGTGAAAACAAATACATCTGTGGTTTTTATGTGAGAAGACGAAGGGATGGACTAAGTTAAAAAGATAAAATGCTCTAATGATGGATTTTCTTTCACTTCACAAGATGTTAACTAATGGACTGGAGTGGTGTGGATTATTGTTATGTTTTTATCCGCTGTTTGGTCTCTCATTCTGACGGCACCCATTCACTGCAGAGCATCCATTGGTGAGTAAGTGATGTGATGCTACATTTCTCCCAATCCGATGAAGAAAGAATGGATGGTCTTTACAGCACATTTTAATTTTTGGGTGAACTATTCCGTTAAGAATCTAACTTAAAGGGGTCATATGATGCGATTTCAAGTTTTCCTTTCTCTTTGGAGTGTTACAAGCTGATTGTGCATAGATAAGATCCCTGAAGTTGCAAAGACTAAAGTCTCAAAACCAAAGAGATATTCCAAATACACAAAATAATGATCTTTAAAAAAGCATCATATGACCCCTTTAAAATGTATATGCTACATTCTTAGAAATGTACTCTGTGTTCATGTTGGATTCAAATGGTTTTGATGTTTTAATGCACCAAGAGCTTGTAACACTTCAAAGAGAAAGGAAAACTTGAAATCGCATCATATGACCCCTTTAATAATCATCAAGAAGAAATGTATATGTTGTTTTCTTTAGACCTGGAATATGTGTAAGCGTCAACATATTTTCTAATATATTTATATATCACTAATTCATTAATTCATAAATATCATTTTGATATTTTATAACCGTATATAATTTCCTTGTTTTTTTTTTTATCAACATGAAATAGAATCAGTTGTATCACACTAAAACTTTGACATTGTTCCATAAATACCAAACGACCCCAAAAATATCAAAATTTATTTTGATTTAGAAATTAAACCATGTTTATCATAGGAGATATTGTGACATTATTTTAATGTGTATTTGAATACATTTGTCACTGAACAATGCTGCCATGCTGGTGATCTTATGGATTGATATTAGGGCTGGGCGATATGACCTAAAATCAAAACCTTGATTAATTGAACACTTTACCTCGATTATGATTATTGAACGATTATTTTATTTTTATTTAATTATTATTATTTTTTTACCCTCATAGTGCATTAAAGGTTTGTATTGTAAATATAATCAACTATTAAAGGTGGGATTTTTTTTCTAATGAAAGAGTGCATCATTTTTTGCAAACAAATAAATATTGCCATGTCAAAAGTAGAAATTAATCAGAATCTCTTGCAAACAAAATCCATTTTAAATATCATATCATGTGAAAAGTAGAGAAATAACTTGTATCTCTTGTAAATGAATATTCGTTTAAATAATGCCATGTGAAAAGTAGAACTCACATGTGAGATGCTGCAAAAGACACAAGTGCAACGGTCACGTCCGTATAGCGCCTACTGCGGTAGTATGTTTTTAAGGGGAAAGTATTAATAAGATTAAAAAAATCAAAATAACCGACACAGGAAAATTATGTCAGTCAGAGGTTCTGAATTTTGGTTTTGATTCATTTTCAATTAATCGTCCACCCCTATTGATATAGTAATATACTTCACACTTATGTTATAAAAAAAAAAGCAGAATGAACAATTTACCTTTTTTTTTTTCCTCAGGAGATTACCACCAATATGAGCTCACCTACGACTCTCAAAATGAAAAGTCATCAGAGCTCTATGACATTGTAGTAGTAGCGATGCCTCTCCAGCAAAACATCAACTCGGGCATCTCATTCCAGGGCTTTGAGCCACAACTTCCAGAAATAGCGGGCTCCTATCACCAAACTGTGGCCTCCATCATCCACGGCTACCTAAACTGCTCTTACTTCGGTTTCCCCGACCCAAAGCTCTTCCCATTTTCCAGCATCCTGACCACAGACACTCCCGGACTTTTCTTCAACAGCGCCGCCAGCATCTGTCCGGTCAGCATAACCTCCGGCTTCCGCCGAAAGCAGCCTCAAGAGGCCGGAGTCTACAAGGTCTTTTCCCCAAAACCTCTGGAGAAGAGCGAGCTGAAGACACTTTTTAAGTCCTACTACTCGGTGCAGGTCACAGATTGGTTGGCGTACCCTCACTACGGAAGCACCCAGGGCTTGCCACCGGTGGTGCTGCACGAAAACTTGTACTTCCTGAATGGAATCGAATGGGCTGGGAGTGCGATGGAGATGAGCTCGGTGGCAGCTAAGAATATAGCACTGTTGGCCTACCACCGCTGGAATAGACAGCTGGAAATGATTGACCAGAAGGACCTCATGCACAAAGTGAAGACAGAATTGTGACACAGCCTGTATGTCACAGTATGTCATTATAAAGACACTGTGAAGTATGATAAGAGGAATTATACTTGTCAAACCTGTTAGAGACTAAGCAACAGCATGCTTTCGATTCAGCACAACGCGGCTTATGTTTTAGTTTTCCTTTTTTGATGCAAGATGCAAAAAAGGTTGCATGTCTGCTTGTCTGCCAGATGTTTGGTGAAGGCGAACAGCAGTGTGGTCTCAGGCTAAACGCGCGATCTGTATCAGGTGGCGGTAATGCGTGGGACGTTTTCTCCATTACTGACCAGCTTGATGCTTCTGTGAGCTCACTTGTCATGAGCTAATGTGATGAGGTGAAAACGTTGTGTGGAAAGACGTGAGAGTAATTCTCCATTTGTTTAGGATTGTTTTTTATGTTTGCTGAAGAAGTCTTATAGTTTCACGATTCCAATTGATCTTGTGTTTGTGTAATGTCACTAGGCAAGGAAAAGTATTAGCAGGATTTTTAGCTTTGGAATCTAATTATTTATTATGATGGCTTGACTTTCACATTTCAATAAATAATGGCTTATGGTCATCTCTGAATAAGAATTCTGAATTCTGCTCCAAATCTGGTATTTCTACACAATTTTAATTGAGTGGTCCTGAAAATTTTTCTTCTTATATATATATATATATATATATTAGTTGTACGATATTTTTGTTTTTCAAAGAAGCCTCTTAAGCTCACCATGGCTACATTTATATAAAATATTAAAAAAGTAATATTTTTAATTCTATTTTCTATACCATCTCACACACTCTTGTTTTCTACTATAATTTAAAATATCATTTATTCCTATAATGGCAAAGCTGAGTTTTCAGCATCATTACTCCAGTCTTCAGTGTCACACGATCCTTCAGAAATCATCATGCTGATTTGCTGCTCAAGAAACATTTTCAATTATTACCACGGGATGCATGATATTGGATTTTTGCTGATATCCGATATGCCGATAATTTTCAACTCATTTTGGCTGATGCCGATACCGATATTTTAAATTTTGTTTCGTTTTTAACAAGAACTTATTTGTTAGAATTAAATAAACAATAATTAAAGTTCTTTTATAATGACAGTACACTGAAGGTTTGAAAATAACTATAAATAAAATATATATTAATCACTGCATTTTTTTTTTTTCCAGAAAGATGCAGTGGTAACCTTAACATTTTATTTTAAGTGAATCTAATCATCATTCAGGCAAAACTTTGCTTCAAGAATGAGCCACAATGCTGACCTGATCTAATTGCACAGTTGACTTGATCTCATGGCTAGCACACCCTGAGCACATGTGAGGTAATGTATTCATCTTATCGGCAAGACATATCAGCATAATTTTTCATATCGGGCCGACGCCGATATTTACATTTAAAGCCATTATCGGCCGATTCCGATATTGGTCCGATAATATCGTACATCCCTATGTAATATCAGTGTTGAAAACAGTTGTGCTGCTCAATATTCTTGTTGAAACAGTGATATCGGTTTTTTTCCAGATTCTTTGATAGATAAAAAGTTCAGAGGAACAACATTTAAAAAAAACGTAAAGGTGTAACAATGTGTAACATTTTTACTGTCACTTTTTTGATCAATTTAATGCATCATTGCTGAATAAAAGCACTGATTTTCTTTAAAGCAACCAAGAAAAGAAACAAAAACAAACTGTATAACCTTTTAAATGTTAGTTATTATATTTTTAAACTAAAGTGTATATTCTTTTCCTTGAGAATGGACCAGAAATATGGTTGATACATCTAAATTTTTGTTCATGCTCTATAGCTTAAGGCATTGTTACAATGCAAGCATTCCATAAGCATTCCTGTTTGTAAAATTATTCAATATATTAGGCAATGTGGATCATTATAAAATACTTCATTCAAATGATTTTATACATACATTATATATATATATATATGTATGTATGTATATAATCATATATATTCAGATTTTACATTTATAGGGGAGTTATACATTTGATTTCATTGTTCGTAAAGTTCTTCAGTTTGTGTGCCTCAAAACTTTGATCAAATATTCCATAGTGTATTTATCTGCTACAGATCAGTAGTAATTCTAAACAAAAAACTATTATGAAAAAAAAAAACATGAAACATACTGCTAATGTCAGAAATAACAGAAGAGGGCGCTGTTACAAGAAATGAAGATTTCCCTTCTTTCTGGTCTCTCTGCTTTAAGCTTGTGGAAAACAAAGGCCTTGTGTGTTAAAACGCTGTGAGAAACTACAGAGATTCTCTGGAACGTTAACAATTTAAGTGTTGTCTGCAGATATGGGTTTTGAGCAATGCTTCACTGAATTCAGATGCCACAGTGCGCCTATTATTAGTCAAAGAAATGGGTTTATGGTGTTAATAACCTACATTTATGTTGCAAAATGCATGTAAATTGTGTCTGAATGGGTTTTAATATGCATAACGTCACATACCAACCACCCACAGCACACAATCAGGATGCGGTTTTCTATCTTTAATACTAATCTTAAATACTCTAATATTCACAGTGCACTGATTTAGATAGCCAAGCATCAAACTTATAGTGCAAGTGTGCATTGCCAACTCTGACAGCTGAGCGAATTAGAGAACAGTCCATCTAGCACACGCGGATCCAGGAAACAGCATAGACAAACAGAAAAGCCTTTTTTCCTCTTCAATTGTTTGCTGAATCTATTTACATAGTAACCCGCTCATAAATATTGAGCCCATTTCAGAAGCATATTGCTTGTGACTGTGCTATTGTGACCACAGAGCTCTTGAGAATAGCTTTAACCAGTGTAGTTTCAGGCCTTTGGTAAACTGAGGCCATGAAAAACTTATGGTTATTGCAGGAGTAAGTTTGGAAAATCCAAATCTATCCATCCTTTCTCCAAACCACTGATCCTCTTTAGGGTCTACACCTAAAGATATATACACATACACTACATATATACTACATATATATATACACACATACTGTATATGCTGATTATGCAGTTTTTAAATATAGTATTTATTTATTCATTCATTCATTCATTTTGGATTTTAGGGTGAAATATGAACTGGATGTTTTTGTAAGATTCACCATAAAACATTTATCTTTCTTATTAAAAATGCTGATTTGGTGCTCAGTTATTACCAATTATTAATAATTCGTATTATCAATGTTGGAAACTTTTTTTGCTGCTTAATAATTTAGTGGAAACTGTGAGTGGTAGAAGACTCTGGAACTTTCCATAGCATGTAAAGTCATTTCCGTTTACACCTGCATGTTTATTGAGTTATCATTTGGAAATATGTGCTCTCTCTGTGAATGACTAAAAAACCCTGAAGGACAGTTTTTTGTTTATGCACTGAAACGCAATACTAATCACATTGTACATCTTGTCCTTTCATTTTTGTTTGTGTACAGTGTGTTACCATGACGAAGTGGGCCATTCATTCTCTCAGAATCCCAAAGAATGCAGAGTTTGGCAAATGACGTTTTGCAGCTTAGTTTCAACCCATGCTCATTTTGGACCTCAAAGAAAGTTCTGCGATTTAAAGTGTTTTCATAGTATATTCATTTCAGTAGATCCAGGTCCAGGATAATATGATTCCTCATTTTATGACCCCTTGAAGACTCTAAGACTTTCAGAACAACTGTGGGAAAACACAGAATATAGATGAGGTTTTTAACATCCAGGAACTAGAGATCTTTGCAATGTCACACCACACTTCCACATTCCCATTTCAACTCGGCTCTGAATGTTGAGAATTCCTCTGTGCTCTGAGCCGTAATGATGGAGTAAGCTTTTTCCACAGTGACGTTCAAAGGAATGCCGCAACAGGAACCAAATTTAAGTGATGACCAAAAAAAAAGTTTGAGAGTGCATTTGGATTTATTCTGACATCACTGTTCTTGTTCTTTCACAGCTGGCCCAGTTGATCCCCTTATTTGGAGCGGCACTAAGCAACAGAACCATTTCATACCTGCAGATCATTACACTAGAAGTACAAAACCACCTTGTAGAGACATGGAATACTATCAGTATGCAGCAACAGCTTAGATTTGCATCGCTTAACGAGAGAGACTTGCACTTTTCACAACATTTAAAGGGGGCATAACACACAGTTTCACTCAATCTCATGTTAATCTTGAGTACCTATAGAGTAGTACTGCATCCTTCATATCTCCAAAAAGTCTTTAGTTTTATCATATTTACAAAAGAAAGATACAGCTTTACGATTCTCTCCGGAAAAAAGCCGAGCTCCTGGAGGCGTGCCGTGGGCGGAGCTAAAGAGTGACGAGCGCTTGAGCTCCGACTGCCAACAAAACAGAGATTTGATGCGGTTTCACTTACCGTCTGCAGTTCTGAATCATGACCGGGATCTTTTATAGCTGGGACCGCTCCATCTTTCAGTATTAAACGATGTGCAAATCCAGCGTCGAACTGGGCCTTGTTTATAAAACGTTCATCAAACAAACACACTGGTGAAACTCCGTTGCTGCCCCGGAAAAAAAAACTTCTTCCCGAGCAAGTCCCGTGCAGCGCTGCCGCCGGATGAAGCGCGTTGATGGGCGCGATCTCGCTCTAGCTCTCGCTCTGGTCGATGCGTGCGCGGGCGCGTTCTTCCGTGAGAAATGCCCATAGTACCCCCCCCCCCCTTTAAAGGATACGTGACATTAAATTCATCTTATCCTGTTTCTTTTGACCAGTAGATTACACTAGCAGCAAGCACTCAAACAACACAAAACCTCTTTCATCTTCTTGTAAGTTTAAATTTTGTTTCCTTATAGGAGTAATAGATGCTATTATTTAGTAAAAGGCTTGGCGTGCAGCCCGGGGCCTTGGGAAGATTCCTGCTGACGGACCCAAGGCCATGCACAAGCAAACACAGGCCCTTCCCTCTGATGGAATCTCAAACACATTATATACTAAAGCTACTGAAATTTAGAATTTGCCTTTAAATGAACATATTATGGATTATGTAATGTATATGGATATGTAATGCGAGTAGTGAATGTTAAAGGGATAGTTCACGCAAAAATGAAAATTTGATGTTTATCTGCTTACCCCCAGGGCATCCAAGATGTAGGTGATCCCCTCAATATTCTTCGATGAATAGAAAGTTAAAAACAGGATTTATTTGAAATATAATCTTTTGTGGTATTCTAAATGTCTTTAATGTACATTTAATACATTCTTACTTTATTTCCTTAACTTAATTAACCCAAAGCTTTGAATGATATATCATAGTTTTCACAAAAATATTAAGCAGCACAACTGTTTTCTACATTAATAATAAGAAATATTTGTTGAGCAGCATATCTGAATGATTTCTGAAGGATCATGTGACACTGAAGTCTGGAGTAATGATGCTGAAAATTCAGCTTTGCTTCTGGGGGTAAGCAGATAAACATCACATTTTCATTTTTGGGTGAACTATCCCTTTAACAAAGACATGTTTCATTATTTGCAAACTTAATACGTTAATTTCTATTTAAGGCATAAAATGAATTATCAGCCTAATTTTGTCTATGTTGCAACAATACACACTGTATACTACCAATAAAAGTCTGGAATAATTAGGATTTTTTTATGTTTTTGAAAGAAGTCTGTTATGCTCACCACAGCTCCATTTATTTGATCAAAAATACAGTAAAAGCAGTAATATTGTGAACGGTGAAAATGTTTTTGCTGCTTAATGATTTTGTGGAAACTGTGATAATTTTTTCCCCTCAATATTCTTCGATGAATAGAAAGTTAAAAACAGGATTTATTTGAAATATAATCTTTTGTGGTATTCTAAATGTCTTTAATGTACATTTAATACATTCTTACTTTATTTCCTTAACTTAATTAACCCAAAGCTTTGAATGATATATCATAGTTTTCACAAAAATATTAAGCAGCACAACTGTTTTCTACATTAATAATAAGAAATATTTGTTGAGCAGCATATCTGAATGATTTCTGAAGGATCATGTGACACTGAAGTCTGGAGTAATGATGCTGAAAATTCAGCTTTGCTTTAGAAATATTACATTTAAAATATATTCAAATGGAAAACTCTTTTAAGTTCTTTTAAATTGTAATACTATATTTTACATTATTACTGTATCAAATAAATGCAGCCTCTGTGAGCATATAAATATATTCAAATATGAATTATTACAAACTTGGGGTCAGTAGTGTAAAAAAAAAAAGACTAAATGAACAGAACATTGATTTGTGAAATATTATTTGTATTGTGCCATACATGTAAAACCAATGGAGGTTGCTGTAACTATTTGTTTTGCATTTGAACTTTAAAATACAGTATATAACTTTAATGAAAGTCATTCAATCCGCTTATTTATTATATTTGTTGTATCTGCATTTCTAAGAGGAAAATGGATGGATATTTAGCTTTATTTATTAAAATTAATACCTGCATGGGGAAATAATATTAACCAAAATCAAAATGATATTTGAGCTTTCATCAATAAAAGAGGGGTTTAACCATTTCAGCGATATTGACATCATCAGCTGTGATCCATAAATGCTGTGCCACCACAGAGGCTTGGGATAAAACTTGGTGCACTTTTGAAACCATCTATTTTTTTAAAAATTAATTTCACACTCTGCTTTTGTGATTAATGGAATATTGTTAGTTTATTGGTTGTTATTGAGAGGGATCAATAAAAAAGACAATGAATCAGCATGTTTCAGCAAGCTAACACAGATATCAAGATTAGAAAAAAGTATTTCTTACTCTCCGAATCAGTCACAAAATGCAATTATGTATGCTTGCGCCAAGATAAATACTAATAATATTAATTGAAAAAAAAAAATACTGAGAAAAAAACAAAGCTAGCACTAATTTATTAAAAAAGCATTTAAGATCACGAGAAAGGCATTATATTAATTACATCATATTATGAATACATTTATGATATAATTTAATATAGTTTTATATTGCAGGAAAATTGTACACACAGGTCAGCCCAAGGTATTTAAATAGCTTGTTTTGGGTCGAGAACGAACGCTCGTCTTGATTGGCCAGTGGGAAAGCACGTGACAAGGCAGTCACGCGCTTTCCAGGAACCCGTCAGGAAGAAGATAAACAAAACAAAACAAAACAAACCAGAGAGGACGACGGCGTGGATTGAGAAGAAATGACATGAAGTTTTCCTAAAGACGGATAAAATTGGAATTACAACCTTTTTTGTACTAGTATATGGGTAGTTTAAAGGTGAGTCATCTTTCTGACTATGACAACGCTGTGAAGTGTGTGAGGATAGTTGTTTAAGGATGATAAAAACACTGTCTCTTGGAGTTAGCTCTCTGGCTAACTTTCGCTAGCAGAGGGGAGGGACACGGAGGCCATAGTGTGAATGCAGCGCTCTAGTTCCTCTTTAAACCCTGACCTGTTCTCGCCTGTTTCCTTCGCTGATACAGCGATATGCTGAGTGTTTTTGCAGCTTGAGGTGCCCGTTTGTCCTTTTAGATCAATATATTTTTTTCCCCGTGGTTGCTTAGCTGGCCAGTCATTGGTGCTGAGTAAGGGCATGAGATGTTGCTTGTTAGCTTTCAATTACTCGAGAACTTCTAGAACATTGCTTGGTCCCCATCACTGCACCTTTTGGAGATCTCCTCCAGTTGACACACCCAGGTCCTTTATTAACAAGCTGATGATATAAATCAAGTGTATTAAGTATAGCTTCTCAGAATCGAAAACTATTGTTCTAAGAGAAACTATCCTTTTTTTACTGGACATAAATTATTAGGCTGGATATCGTTGGTTTTTATGAAACCCCCGGATGAACTTGGAAAGCCTAGTCATGAATTTACAGCATTCAGCGACGTTTCAGACCATTGTTTGAAAGTTGTGTATATCTGCTTATCAGAAATATGTTACACTAAGGTGATCTGATTACATATATGAGGTGATCAGTGATTTGTAAACTTTTTTTCTTTGTATTCACAGATGATTTGACGATGCCTTACTAGAATTAACCCCACTAAGTCTGTAAGGGTACACGCCCCCATCAGCTCGATGCAAAGTGAAATGGAAACACGATAGTCTCTGCGGTACCTAGACAGCCTTTGGCACATAGATAACTGTCCGAAACGATTTTAAACCGTTTTGATTGTGCATCAAAAGAAGCTCGAAAGCTTTAAAACGCAATTTGTTATCCGTTTGAACGAGTCGTTTTATCGCGAAATGATGTTCATTTGCCAGCTGCGTTGTAAAAACTTCAAAATGTAGTGTTTGTGTGTAAACTAAAAGTTTATGAGGAGATGATGTTTTGCATTCCATCTGTTTACGTAACATGAGGGAGGCCTGCAATATTGTTTGTTGCTTGTCAACTCAACCAAGCGCTACGATTGTGCTTGATTGACATCGAGTAGGTGCAATCGTTTGGTTGCGGAGGCGGGCTATAAATGTGCATGCAGCCAATCAGAAGACGCCATTACGTGGGCGTTGGCCCAGAATCGCGACGGGTTAGGTTGACGCTATTTGTTTTTGAAGGGGGCAATGGTGAGTTCAGGGTCTTGTGAAGTGTTAGTAGGTCCGAATATAATATGATATTGGCCATAACGCGCAAATTACGCTAAGCGTTTAAGTGCCATTCATTTTATTTGTTTCATGCGGATGTGTCTAATCGGCGAGGTCTCAGAAGTGTAGAAATGTGAGCTGTTTAGTAGGTCATTCTGTCTTCATGTAAACATTGCGGGGGTGGTCATCTATTCTATAGGACAGATGGCATTACATCTGCAAGGTTATATTTGCAGTTTATTATTACAAACGCATGTGAAGTCTGATGAATAGACAACAAAGTGAGCAATTTTGAGTGACAAACAGGGTTTGGTTGGGACTTCATTCAGAGGCCTGTGCTGATAGTAGATGCACATGTATTATGGCTGGATTTTACTTTCCTTGTCATGAAATATTAAAGTGCTAAAAGTCGAACAGTCAACTCTGAAATGCAGCCTGTATTTTGCTTCTTTTGTAAAGGTTCATCCTAATTTGAATAAGTGAGCAATTATGTGTTTTACCCAGCCTTGAACCTCTCAGATGCCTAATTTTTTTTACTTTTATTTATTAATTATCACCCTCATATTTTTTTTTTTTTTAAACCTGTATGCTGTTTTTGCTTTGGAACATAAAAGAAAAAAATATTTCCATACAACAAGGGTTCATAATGTCTGTATTAGAGATCAACCAGTAGAGTATATTGCTGATACCGATTAAACAGATAAAAAAAAAAAAAATCAATAACATGAAAATTAAAAATTGAATTAAAGCTTTTCAGTTGATGAAAATAGTACTGAACTTTATTAGAAAATTAGTGATATATAATAATTACACGAGAAATAATTAAAATAAATAAAAATAGTTAAGCTTCATTACTACTGACTGCTTTATTATTTTGAAATATATAAATAATGTAGAAAAACGGGAGTGAGAAAAAAAGGATAGAAATAAAATCAACTTAATTTCTCAATTTTCAAACGGCCCTGTATACGTTACATATCCACATCCCCACACGTTTAAAATGTATATATTTTACTTTACTCTTATGTTTCTTTTGCTCACAACTATTTCATAAAATTAATTTAGTAAGAACAGAGAAATGTTTGGAAAAATATCAAACCAAGAAACGGGCTATTCCTTCACATTCATTGCACTTTTTAGGCAGTATTTGCACAGTGTTTTCTGAAACAAGTGATCAGATGATCAAAAGCAATTTCAGCATTTTTCACATTAACATAGTTGATATTAACATGTTGCCATAAACTCCATGTTGAGTCCGTTACCTGTAACATTTACTTCGAGAAAGCCATTCAATGCACAAAGTTTGTTCATTAGTCAACCAAAAAAATAATAAAGCAAGGAGCATTTCGCTTAAAATATGTACCATTTCAGTTGTTTTTCAAAGTGCTTCAGTCGTCCTTGAGTGTAAGACTGAGAGCCAGGCGTTTGCTTCTGTGTAAGGAGTGCTGTTGCCATCTCAGCGAGCAGAGACTTCTGACATTTGCAGAGTAAGAAGGCTGGACTGCAAAATGCAAGCTTGTTTGTAATTAACTCAGACTGTCCTTTTAAGGTGCAGACAGACCTTGGAGCTAATAAGACATGTCTAAACTTCAGTCTAAGTTAAATATGAATTGTAATAAGCTCTAGACTGTCTCTTGTCATACTTCCTGTGTATTAGCCACAGTGTTTCTATAGCTTTAGCGCAAAGGCCGCCAATTTGATCACAGCACGCCTACGCTTAAGATTCTTCAGCTTGTGCATAGCAAAGCGGCGGCCTGTAAGTGCACACTTGAAAAAACTAGTATGGCAAAGTTAAGCTTTAGTTTTATGAACATGCAAAACTTTTATATGGACAAAATCTGAATATTGCAGATAAAATATACTTTATTTTTAATATTGATTACTTTCATTTAAAACCTCTTTGGCAGTTTCAAACATTTCACGACTACTCCCGTGTTCTGTTTAGTACAACTACTGCATTTCTGCTAAAAGCATTCAGTGCACCTTACCTTACATGTATTATTCGACTTTTTATGATTTTCAGTTAATGTGATTTATCTCAAATGTGTGTGCATGACGCAGAAGAATAAACCTTATTGGTTTTTGCACATAATGCACAGTGTTCTGTTTTACCATGTTTAATGTGCTGTATGTGCATTGATCAATGTTTATATGAGAAGAAAAGAAATGAAATCTGTTCATCATATAAAGCGATCATGGATTAAATTAAACGGCTCGATTCGTATTGATTACTTTCAATGGATGAAAGATTCCAAAGATAAAAAAAGTTTTATGGCTACATTTTTGGGTAAAAATGTAAAGGTGATTTTCTTCATATTTTCTTCAATGTGTTAGATCAGTGGTTCCCAGCTGGTTAGAAAAGCAAAATAAATTAACTTTTTAAATGGGAGGAGAAAGTGTTGCCTGTGTCTTTCAATAAAAGTCAGTCAAATTATTAATCTCTTGCTTGGTAGAAACTAGACAAATTAGGCAAATACCGAACAGGTTGCGTGACGTGCACTTGTCTTCCTAAAAGACAGGAACATGGCAAATTAAAGAACAAACCGGACTACATTAAATACAGGTTCACTTGCAGTGAGGGAAAATATGGTTTGTGCTGACCGCAATGTGGTTGCCAAGAGCATCCAACCAACTGAATTCAAGAGGCATTTATAAACCAAAGCTTTTAAAATGTTTTTTTTAATAATATTGCTAAATGATCAATTATACTAGTGCATTTCAGAATTTTATTGCAATGACATTATTTGTTTATAAACAATGATTTAGTGTTGGAGCATTGCTGTATTTGAAGTGTAGTTGTTTCACTCAAGGAGCACTGGTAATACACTCTTTACTAGTCTACTTTGACCCACAGTGATGTGTCCTATGCTTTGTTTGAACTGTATGTTTACAAGCCACTGTGTTTGGCTTTTCAGGAACTAGGCGACCGCAGTAGATTGTAAACATACTTGACCGGAAACAAGTGACCCACATTATTTTAAATTGGAAGTATGTCACGACACTTAGTGCAATTAATCCCTCAAAAGTAGAGATCCACCGATTGCAATTTTCTTGGCCGATTCCGATTTCCGATTTTTTGTTAGTGTGATCTGCCGATACCGATTTTTGCCGATTTCCGATTTTCTTTCTAAGAACTATAATTGACAGCATATACAAACAAAAATCTACTTTTCTTCAACGCAAAGTTTTATTTTCATTAAAAAAAACAAGTAAAAAGTAATTAATAAAATAAGAACAAATACAAAAATTGCAAACAACAGCACAAATAAATGCAATAGAATAAAGAGAGCTATGAAACTAAGTTTTTCAGGTTAAGTAAGTTTTTATTCAGGTAAGAAATACTACAGAAATTAAAGCAATATACTGTTACACAACATGCGTTCTCTTTCTCAACTATTTAACGTTCCAAAATTGACTGTGTTTAACTGGATACTCGCCAAGACGGGCATTTTGACATAATTTTGTATGTATTTGACCGTTGTAGTGCAGTTAGCCACTCATTTTGGTCTTTGTGGCTCACAAGCTGTTTGAGACTGAGCGCGGCTTGTGCGCTCCACTAATATAGATCAGTGATGGTGC